CCAGTAATTCCTGCATCAAACACAAAATGTTTCAGGTGAAACACGTCTTACGTCTTTCAGAATGAAAAGGATTTGTTCAGGTTTTTTTTTTAAACTCAAATTATGAAGGAATCATCTCAACAATTTGTTTCTTAAATAATTATCCTCACTCCTGAAAATCCACAGCTTGAAGTTTGAATTTGTCTAGTTTCAGCCTCTTGATATTGTTTTGATATGCTTTCATGTGCAAAATTAAGGAGCTTCCCGCTCCCAGAAGTCATCCTTTGTAGTGATTTAGGCCATGAACAAGTCACAGCACTTTTCTTTGATATTCTCTGAATAGATGAAGATGCTTTACTGAGTTGAGGCTGTAGGAATTTTTGATAATGACTTAAAATGTAGCTCAACTCAATAGAAAATTGTAAGAATAAGGCAAAAAGCCTGGGATGTCAAACACAAGATGAAAAATATGGTTTTCAGTGTGAACTCTTTGCCCCTTTTATAAAGCGCATAATCCATTGCACACCATAATAAGCATGTCAACAGGGTGTTGACTTTTTTTTTTTTTAACTGAGGTACATCATATCAGTGTAAGGGCCAGTTTTACATTTAGGAATAATAACAGAACCACCAAGACACAGTTGACTAAAAGTACAGTCTTATTCCTTTGATTCCTATGTTGCTTTTTATAATCTTCCCTTCAGACAGATCTGACCTAATGGATATTAATGTCATGGGGAGTTTGTCAGTGACATCTGGATCTTTGAAGCAAACCTTCTTATGTCATGCTAAATTAAGTTTTCCTGTTTCTCAAGCCAGGGCACCTGTTTTGTTTTTTTGTTTTGTTTTTTATTTCTTTCCCATGAATGCCATCTCATCTGCGAGAACCTGGAAAACAATAAAAGCCTAATCAATCAAGTGAAATATAGCAAAGTGGTCTTTGCATAAATAGGAAACTAATTCTGGTATTGTACAAGGAGAAAGAGTAGAATACAGAAGAAAGAAAAGAAATGTTAAATATGCAGAACAAGATAATCCAAATAGTATATTTTTATTGAAATGATGGTATGCAAAGCAACATTCCTGTTGCAGAATATTAGTCTTATATGGAGTTACATACATTTTTATATGTTTTATCAAATTCATAAAAGGTCAGATCAAAACAAACTGTGGAATTCAGAAAAGTATGAAAAATCATGACATTCCCGAGGGCCAAAAGCAGAGCTGCTGTGAGAAGGCACAACTCCATTCAGTCCTGGGTGTGCAGTACAATATTCTGTTGCTGGAAAAAGGAGCCTTGTGTATTATCTTTGGTTAGGCTCACAGCAAACATTAACATTTTAACACCGATGACTCAAGGGTTCCAGGTAAGAGCTGTATTTTATGTCCATTCAGTGTTCATATCAAATTAAGTACAAATGGACTGGGGTTTGTGCTACCCCATTTTCTGTACAACAATTCTGAAATTTCTGAGACACTAGATTTGGTTAGCTTATGGCTTTTCCAATAGTCACCGAGACTGGCTGAATAAAGAAGTGTGAATTATTCTTGCAATTAGCTCTGACTCTGAGGCAGATAATCATCGTTGTTAAAGTGCATTAAATATGACCTGCAGCTATTTGATCTTGTGCTCTAATCCTCTCAGCTCTTCTAAACTAAACAAAGGTGGGTGGATCAATAGTGAGATGGTTTCACTCCAGAAGAAGAGCATGTGGTCAAGAGGTACAACATTGCCTTTTGTATCATTACTAAATAGATGTTCCTGCACACTGCACTGCAGTGATCATCTAAATGAAGAACTCCATGCATTTGAGGCATGTGAGGCTACACCACTACCGTGTCACTCATGGTATGCCACTTCTCCCTATACCCCATGAGCTTTTCCTTGTGCTCTTCCCCATCCTACAATGGCTTGACACTAGTGAAATAAAAGAAAGATGCTGTATGCTTTTCCTTGACTCACTGGTGTAGCCTGTTGTTTGGTTGCACATTCTTTCTACTCATTTGCAGCTGATGGGAAGCCACCAAGATGGTAGCACCTGCCTAAATCCCATATGAATAGAACAACAGGCTAGGCCCCTGGATCTGAATACGCAGAGAAGCAAGCCTAATAGCAGTATGCTAGTGGAGCTGATTCTTTTGGGGTATAAGATGGGTGTATATATATGGCACTTTCTGGCAAAAAAAAAAACCCCAAACCTAACTCAAAAAACAGTTTGGCCTCTTAACCCTTCCCAGTTCTATTTCACAACATTGTATTGTACCAGGATTCATCCTGCCATCTATGAAATAAATTTGGTGCCCCTTAATTTCTAGTCTAAATTTACTCTTATCTATTGACATGATGAAGAGCTGCCTCATTTCACTGGCATGTGAATGAAATCATCAATTTCCTTGCTTTCCTCCACAGTGCATTTAGGAACTTACAAAGGTAAGAGTGTCCACAGAGCACTTTGAAAGCCTTACACAAAAGGCACCACGACTATGCAAAGGATTACTGTCAATATTAGTGAATCACTTCAGCCACCACAGGAAAGCAGGTTTCTGTTTTAGAACAACAAAGAGACCACAGTGGTATTTACTGAGCACTTTAAAGATAACAACAGCTACATAAATACTAAGAATTATTAAGGTTTCTTTGTGAAAAGGTTAATTGCATGGTGATAAACAGTATTGCAACTTTCAAGCCCATCTACAGGCAGAATAAGCACCTTTTGGTTACAGGGAACCCAAAACTAAAACCACCTCTCTCTCCAAAGGCTCCGAGATGAAACAAATGCTCCCAACAGGAAGGTTTCCACTAAAAGTCCTGTTTTGGTTGAATAGTGTCTTTGATGAAACTAGATTGAACTTCAGCCTGAGCGGGGCAGAGAAAGACTTGACAGGCAGTTCTCCACCGTGCAGCTCCCCCTCACCCCAACCTGTGTGCTCTGTCAGCCAACACTAAGAAGAGCAATGAGGGAGCAACAAGCCTCTCCCTTCAACCTGTACTAGCCCTACATTTCAAATTTTATTTAGAAATAACAAAAGCCAGCTATAGCCCAATATCACTGTCTCAAAAAAAAAAAAAAAATAAGAAAAAGAGGACCAGGTAGCTGCATTCTCTTGGAAGAAGGTCAGCAGATGCTCTGTACGGGACACAGCACCCCAGGTGTTCTTCACACGTCTCTTAAGAGCCCTGGCTGTGGTGACCTTTCACGGAGGCAGCTGGACACAGGACTTGGAAATTCCTACTCTAAATGGTGAGGAGCAGATGTGCATGTTCCCATGGACAAGCATAGCTGAGGAAGTTCTTTGCTGAGTAGCTACCCCCTTTGGGGTGAGATGACTCTCCAAAGAAAATAAACCTGGCCACCAGCAGATACTTGACACCTGCATATTGTTTTCTCAGCTTGCTTACTTCAGCAGTTGCAGGACCACTGTTGGCTTGCCTTGTTCTCTTTCCTATGCTCTGCTATCAGGAAAAATTTGGAGACCCTCACCAACAGTGGATGCTTCCACATTGTTTAGAAAGACTGCTTGATCACTACAGCCCATCTGACATTCAGAGTATTTACTGCATGGCTACTGAAGACCTTCTAATGATTATTCACCTCCTTTACCAATACGAAAGAGCTTTTCTTCTAGAGTGTGTGGTTGTTCCCAATTGTTGATCTGGAGAAAATTCAGGGAGAAAGTTCAATATTGAGACCACGCTGCCCTAGAGTTCTTCTAGTTTTCTTCAAAACAATACGTTCATATTCAGCCAGGCTCTAAATAAACCTGTCCTCTCCAGTGTTGTTTGTTAAAGAAGTCAGAGTGCAGTCCCATCTAATGTTGTGCAACTTAAGTTCTCAATAAAGCTCTTGAGATTTCTGCATGCTCAGTATTTTTTAGTCTTTGCAGAACTTAACTCTGGATATAGCCATCCTCTAAGCATCTTGCATAATTCTTTGATTCTGTACCAGTTCATCTGCAAGTTTCTCTAAGGCACAACATTATTTTAATTTAAAAGAAGCATAAATTACCTAAACAAATAGACTTTTCTGGTATCCTATTACATTATTGGAAAACTTAAGAGCTTTCCTCTTTAATGCTGAATAGAAATTGAATAGCAATTCCAGCATGCAAGCAAAGGTACATCCACTTCTGTTCTCTTCACCAGAGCATTGACTTCCTACCTAACTTACAGATAGAATAACTTTATGATTTGTTAATATATATGGCTAATTTTCACTACACAAATTACATTCATTTGTGCTAGCTCACTCAAAGATTTCCTTTTAACTCACTAAAGCAAAAGTGCAACAGTTCAGCTGAATGCTAGGCAGACATTTTTTAAGCAAGTAACATTTCATTTCCTTACAGTCTTTGAAGGCAGGTGAAGTGCCTGTGTTTACGTACTGAATTAACTTTTTACCTCAACTCACTGTAAATTAATCTCTAATGTTTTTGTGGCCAACAGGACATGGTATATACTGTTTATATGGCAAAAATGACAGGATTTTAATGGGCTGTCTTACAGTAACATGGTTAAAACACAGCTCTTTACAAACCACCTGCAATTTGCACTGCCTTCCCCACACAGGCACTAGTAGCATGTCTAAGTGTCTTAACCACAACAAAGGCCAAAACTGCTGCTGAGAGTTCATTTTCCATGCCTGCATTAATTAGTGGGCCTGTTCAGTATGACTACATGTTACCCTCACCAGCTGCTGAAATACCTGTATACTGTGCACGTCTCCCTTAGCTCCTGTCATAGACCTGTGGAACAAGTGTGTTGCATAGTAGCTGTGGGTACTAAACCATAGTGTCACATATCTGTGGTTGCAGAACATATGTATACCACCTGTATAGTGTCTGTACTGTTTGTTGTGCCCGACAGCTAAATTTCTGATGTACTTGTGCCAGTGGATTTATGTCCTTGTTGGTTTGCTCAATAACTGGTCCTCCCCTACCCAGAAAAATGCACATATGTAGACTGTAAGGTTGGGGATGGATCCCCACAGTGCTGCATAGTCATTGCAAAATCAACTGCTCCACTGTGTTTCTGTTGCTGGACAGACTGACAGATCAAGATGCTACAACTGAGAGGACATTTCCTTGCTTTTTGTTTGGTTGATAGCTTTTGGCATCATTTGTAATGCTCTTGATCATTTTTATGGAGTTTCATGTAGCAGCAAAAATGTTACCAAACCCCTGGGCTGGCAGGAGGACTTTTCCTGTTGTGATATTGCAGGCAGGATCTCACCTCTAGCCTCACGTGGCACTTGGAGGTAGAGAGGAATGATCTGAGCTAGCACTGTCAGCAAAGGGAGGGCAGCAGCGCCGTGGGGCCGTGCCAGGACTGTCTGAATCCAAAGAGCTGCAAGGTCTGGGCATCCTTCTGGCACAAGGGCTGAGTGCTCCCAGCCCACACATGCACCCCCAGGCACCTGTTACAGGTATGTGGCCATGGGGATGCGTGTCTGAAACAGTAGGAATGCTCGCCTGTGTGAGGATGTGTACGCTTGGAGGCGTGGAGGAGCAAACGTTGGTGCTGGGAGTGGTGGGATCTTGGAGTACAGGCAGGGCTGCGGTGCAAACGCAGCTCCTGGCCTGCCCCTGCTCTTGTCATAGTCCTGCGTCTAGTGATGCCGGGCAGAGGCCTCAGCCCGTGGTAACCCTATGGCAAGGGCATCGTGCATTCAGGGAGCATGTACTGGAGAGGCTAATCAGTTCTGCAAACTGTTCCAACAAGCCCTTCTTGGGTAGCCTGGGTTTACTATCATGCTGCTGTGGTCAGGGCACATCTCTGTCAAACTGCATTTGCTACAGGGCTGCATTAGCTTTTCCTTTGCTTTTCCTTTGCACGGAGGAGTCGGAGGATGCGTTCATTTTTTGTTAGTTCTGCTGGCAGTTCATTTGCCTGGAATAAAAAAAAACCTTTGAGGTTAGCAGAAAAGAAAGAGTATTTCCCAAACGCGGTTTAAAAGCATTGAACTTTAAAGAAGATGGAACTGGGCATTATAATGATGTGATGTTTTCCAGTGTTGTCTCCTCCACTTTTGAAGGTACCTTAAGAAATTGTCTTTCATGTGCAAGTCTCACTTAAGTCTTCAAAATAATCCCAGCATAGAATTTGAGTGATCAGCTTACTTTGTGCTGACCATCCAGGCTAAATGGTATCCCTTGGCCTCCCTATGCTTCTGCCACAAAAATAACAGAGAGCATAGCTGCTGATTTTTTGGGGGAGATGAGGTAGGTCTTTAAAGTTCATAAAAATCTGAGGGAACACTTTAATGGCTATGGAATAGTGGTGCTATGCTGTAAGATTGGTAATAGAATATGAGTTTGGATGGGTTTTCTTCTTAATTTATTGAATACAATTTTGGTAACATAAAGCATTTATTATGAAGCTACTTCTAAAAATCAGTAATTCTGTCCTGCAGATATACTCTGTTGTGCCAAATTGAATGTTATTCAAAAAAAAATTAAAAGTCAGTAGGAGAGGTTACAGCCACGGACTTTTTTATACTAAACACCCTGCTGCTGCAAATCACTATCAGTAGCAGAAAAATCTTGCACATCGTTTGGATTATAGTATCAAACCAAAGTGCATACTAGTGAAGACTACTGTGTGAATGCTATTAACTCTGCTGCCATCAAGTGGAATAATACAGAAATTAACAGCCACAGATATATTAAATGCACAAAATATTTAGAAGGTATGTGCCTGATTATTTGTATTATAAGCTTTCATTCACTTAGTCATAAACCAGAAGTTAACACTAGACCATCCATTCACAGCTTAACAAACCCAGCTATATATCAAACGCTATCAGCAAACAGTTCAGAAACACATGTCAGAGGAAAGAAAACATTTTCATTGAAATTATCAAAGATGTAAAGTTAAAGTTAAAACACTTTACAGAATAAAATCAAGACAAGTATTGTACAGATATGTTGCCATTATAAAAAGAATGCAAGACTAATTAAAAAAACTAACAGTTTTACAGTAAGATATGGGAAAGATGCATGTAATTTTGGAGGGGGTTTTTTTGTATTAGCAATGCTCTGAATTCTAACCAAGTTTTCTCATCAAAGGTACCTAGATATAAATTTTTCTTTCTGCAGAAATATCCTCCTTATACATCATTATGGAGATACAAATATAACTTACAACTTATCAAAACAGTAACAGATTACTGTTTCCCTAAAATGCAACCTAGCTAGCGCATGACTAGTTATAGTTAATTTAATCTGTGGTTCTCTAGTGAGTGAGTGAGTGCTTTGGTTTATTCTCAGATTGATGTAAATTCTCAAGACCCAACATCACCAGTGGCACTGCCTATCACCCTTATAGGTTCTTGTATACAGAAATAAATGGACTAAATGATGGTACTTCAGGACAGGATCAACAGGCAACCACAGAGCAACACGGAAACATGGGCTGCCCACACCTCCAAGGCACACATGGCTCCACTGCTCAGTGATCCCCACTTGCTCCTCCCCTGGGATGGTCTGCCAGGACATACCTTGTTCCTCAGGCATGGGTCTGCTCCTGCCTCAAGGAGCAGTGCCACTGTCCTCACGTTGCCGCTCAGGACAGCTGCGTGGAGAGCAGAGGTCCCATTCTAGAAATACCAATGGAGGTGTTTGTACCAGACATGGGAAGAAAGTAAAAGGCATTAAAACACAAATGTTTGTAAAGAACAAACCTATGAATGAGAGAGAAGTAACACAGAAGAGATTAGGCCATCAAAGACCTAGTGTCTGGTTTAGATGGGGTGCTGGCAGCTAAGGGGGCTATGAAGGAGGTGATTTTAAATGCTTTAATAAAAATGAGAGTCAAGTTCACTTTACCACAGCAATATTTCCTTTTAAAAATTACCCTTGTCAATAGATTAGAGGTGAAATGAACATAGCACTTGCTTCTGCCTGGCAAAATCAGTCATTAGCAAGTGAAACAGAAGCGCAAGCAGTAATGGAAACCATCTGTGCATTTTATCTTCTTTTTTTGATGATTAATGGCCTCACTGTCAGACAGCTGAATGGTGGGTTTTTTTATGGCTAGCCTTTTCTTTGTGGTTGCAAACTGACAGTTCAAGTAAGTGAGGAAGCTATTTCATACTTGTAATTAACATCTACATTATCAAGTACATCAAAGTTGCCAATCTGTTGCATGCACAGAGGCTATCAAAGTATGTGACATAGACACATAAAATTAGGTCAGCCATTAAAAAGCAGCTTCCAAATATCCGTTATTTTTCAAGTCACTTTATGAATTCAGAGAAAAACAAAATCAAGTAGAGAATCTGCTTGCAACGTATTTCTTAGGACACTATTTTGCTGACTAAATGCAAAAGAGGGCTGAGTATAATGCTAAAAATTGCACTGTCAAGAGCAATTAATTTACAGTAGAAATAAAATCAGGTGACAAAAAGCAGGAGAATTCCTTCTATGACATGATGTGCTTCCTCATTCCAAAACTTAAATTCCCAGATTTGTTTGAAAATATTCTTTTATGTGTGGTATTAAAAGTTAAATAAGATCATTTCATTTTTCTCTTGACTTTTTTTGGGTTCAAGCTCCTGTGGTCTTCCATTAGCACAGTCATAAATTCCAGGTCTTTCATCAGACTCTTTGCCTTCTTGAGATTTTGTCTACAAATCTGTGTGTTTAACTACTAACCTTAAGGAGGCCAAGCGTGGGAGAGAATTTCAGCAACTCTTCTATCACATTGTTGTATCCTTTAATGGCAGCCTTCAGTAAAGCAGTTGTACCATCCTTTAAAAGAGAGAGGAGGTCAGTTCTGCTGTTGCAGATGCTTTACCTGCATTCCCCTTGGCTGGAGGGAAACACCAGCTCTTGCCTGTGCCTCAGATCTCCTCTGCTCATCATCTTTGAGGAGGCACCTCCACAGCATGTGCTGCTGGTTTTAGGGCATCTGGAGGATTGTTCCTCTGGCATGTGAAAACTTCAGGGGAAAATGAACCAGTGACACCATATATCCATCGCCTTTGTCTCTCATCTATGTGGACATTTCCGTTCCCCTGTTCCAGAAGGTACCTCCAGAAAGCTGTCCCAGACACAGCAGGAAAAAGGAAACCCACGGTGGGACTTTTCAACCTGGCAAACATGGAGGACTCTGGGGACAGGGACACCAGGCCTTCAGACAGTCTGACTTATAGTCCCTGGAAAAGCTAGGAGGCATTAAGCTGCAGACAGAGTGCAGGAAGAAGTGCTACTCACATCCCTCGCAGCGTCTCGCTCAGCACCGCGGAGCAGCATGACTCGCACCACTTCACTGTGACCCATCTGTGAGGCAATCCACAAGGGAGCTGTCCCATCCTGCAAGAAAAATAAGACTGCTAATGGTTTCACCTCGATGTCCTAGGCTCTCTGATATTTTACTGCCCAAGCGTACTGGAACGGATGTACTTCAATTACTCAATGAAATCCTGCATCACAGGGAGACATATGCAGAGCTCTGTCCAAAAACACTTGGGAAGTTGGTGTGTCAAGTTAGAATTGCTTCAGTCTGTGGAGTAGAACCATCCTTATCTGCTTTCTTTTGCATAGTTGGACGGAAATGTGCATTGTTGTGTGAACAGTTAAAGCCCAGTCAGGCACCAGCTGTGCTTAAAATACACGGGTAAATTTGAAACACAAAGACTAAGGGTATCCTGTGTACTTTGAACTCTAGGTGGTTAGATGTGACAGAAGATACAGACAAACCTAAGCATGCACAGGCAGATTCTGCAGCTGGGTGTCTGTACATAGGGAGTGAAAGTTGTTTAAAGAAGCTAGGGAGCAATGCAAGATGATCATCAACTTTCAATATAAGGTTACATTATACACCCTCAGGGAATCTGGTAAAAATGTCCTACCTTACAGAGATGGTGAGTATTTTACAAATTTTATCTTCAAGAACTCCACTAGAAAACAGAGCAATTACCAAGGAATCCAGCATGAAGCAATCTGGTTTGGAAAAATTGTCCTATGCAGGCATTATTTGAGCATAAACCCCTAGAAAATGAAATGCACTTTCAGAATAAGCTAAACTTTGTGATGGATTTCCATCTCAAAGGCAAAAGTGAGTTGAAGCACTACAAGTATTTTTCACTGTAGTTAGAATTTAGTTTTGTATCTTCTTCTCCTTTTGCTTCTAAATGGTCTGATTCTCAAGATTGTAGGAGGACTCCAACAGTTATGTGGTGCCAAACTGATTCTTGTGAGCCTTTAACAAAAGGCTTTGGCTGTTTGGACTTTAACATAAAAGTGAGGCCTCACGTTGCAGGGTGTCTGCTTCTGCCTTCAGCGTTTGCCAGTTCCCCTCACCACCCTTAGCAGCCTGAAGACTTGGCCCGAAAGTGGAAGACAAAATATACTGAGGCTTCCAAAAGAGTCTTAATGAGAAGCTTCAGAAGAAATCAACTTTTTACGTTAAATAAAATATTTCCACCTTGATCAAAGAAGTAATCTCTCTTCTCAGTGCCAACTGACTTGGATCATGCAATCCAAAAAACCATTGTTGTACCAGTTTTCTGCTTTCTATGGGCTAGACTTAATCCTTTCGAGGAAACAGAAAAGTTATTTCTTCCTTTGGTATAAATGTTCTGGGTTTTTCTTTTTCTGATTCTGAGAAAGAGCAAATGCACATCCTGAGATCTTTAGTATTCTGAAATAGCAAGGAACAGGATCTTTGCCCACTCTTGTATAATTTCTCTATAAATTAACTCTTTGAAATTAGTGATTGACCTCATTCTAGTATATATCCTGTTATTGCTATGAGTGTTCTTTGTGATTCAAAAATAACGAAGGCTGTCTTGTGATGTTATCGTGACGGCAAAAACTGTCCCTCTTCAATTTATAGTGTTTTCCCTACCAGTAAGTTGACGCTTCATATTTTTCTAATCTCCCCCCACCAGAGGGCTCTAGAAAATAGCAGTAAGGACCCTGGAAAAGCCTTCAAAATTTGGAAAATATCTGAGAGCCGCCTACAATTTAATCTATGTGAAGAACCAAAGTTGTGCAAATCCACATGTGTATTTACACAAGAAATACAAACAGAAGCTCGGGGAACATAGCAGCTTTTTTTCAATCACAGTGAAGTCTGTAAGAACAACTCTTATTTTCAGATATAAATGAAAAGGAGCAGAAGGAAATACAAGTGTTGTGTAACATCACTGCTACCATTAACAGTCCTTAAATAGTATTGCTGTTAGACATCATCCTTGGTGGCTCAGTTACAGGCTAGAGGCAAAAATACATTATAATAAAGACTGGCTGTCTTGAAGGATTTAGCCTGAAGAGAAAAAAGATGCTAAAACTGATGGTGAGCTCACATTGACTGTGGTCATCCTCTTTCTCTAGAGCAAACAGCATCTAACAGACAGGTTTATGCAAATATGTAAAATATTTATCCAGAGTAGAAGAGCTTCTGTCCATTTTCATGTTGGTGAATGGTGCAAAAGAGATATTACATTTTACTAAGAGGTCACATGAGAATTCATGTGTAAACTGATAATAAAGATTGGAGATGAGTCAGGAAGAAAGTCCAAAAACTACTTTCCTTTCCTCGTCCCTCTGCCCACTTAGCAGACTTCAGACTATTACATTCCTAGAACAATGTTAAACACCCAATATGTTTGTAAATTGTTCTTTTTTTCCGTATTTAATTACAAGCTAGTAGATATGGACTACACCTTATTACATCTAGCAGCCAGCAGTTCCAAAGACTGAAATTTCTGATCCTCTTTCTCTTACCCATTAACTATTGACTTTGCTTTGCAGCTTTAAATCTCAGCTTTTGCTTATGGCTTGAAGTTTTAGAAAAGGCTGGAGTAGGGTGGGAGGTGAAAGACCCCTTGAATTTACCAGTAGGGGATTCCAGGGGCACAGACCCCCTACTCTCAGGCTACTCAGTGTCATCTTCTCCACTGCTGTGCCCATTAGTCCACTTGCACCACTATACCTAATTTGCTAATAGCAAATTGCTTTTTTGCCTGAAGTCCACTCTATTTTACTGGCTTACATGTAAGTGTAATTGCGTATCACATGGTAAGAAAAAAAAATTATTTTTCAGATTATTTTGAATCTGCTTAGCCAGACAGACTAAAGCCTGCTGGGACACAGGCTGCCAAAACAGTGTGAAATTCATTGGCAAAAAATCTTATAGCTTTGTTTTTTGAGTTGGAGAAGCATAGAAACCACTCCTGCACCAGGCTTCAGACACTGCGCCCAGCTCTGTCTAGACAAAAAGATGACAATAGAATTCCTGCCCTGCTCCTCAATATTGGAAAGAACAGAAGGCAAATAAAACCCAAGAGAATTCACATTGCCAGGAAAGCTTCACTATTTGGTCTTCTGAGAGCTGAGCTAAAGAGCCTGCACACAAACAGCCAGCACCATCTGAAATGCTCTGTGGTGTCATGAGCAACGCTGTAGGATGTGGGAGGTGGGACACCAAACTGAAGGGGAACTGGTACCACTGCAGCAGAAGGAGACATGTAATGCAGATGCATGTGCTCAGGCACATAAATTAGGCCTTCAAATTCACAAGGTAGAGAGAAAAAGCTCTATACCATGAGGAAGGAGAAGCATAAACTCACACCTGGCACGCTTCAGTCCTGTATTTGAGGTAATGTTGCCTGGAAGTTTCCTACCACAGTGAGAGCAATGTAGCTTGTTACTGACAGTGAGAGTCATCTGGCATCAAAACTGCCCCATCTAGAGCTACATTCCTCATGACCAACACGCCACCTTTGAACAAAGTATAAATTGGTTTGTTAGTAAGAAAGAGATTCATCCAACCATTACTTGACTAATTAAACAGTAAAAAAATTCCATTTGTTAAGGAAATGTTTCAGATTACAGTGGCCCCAAATACAAATGCCATGCACTTATCCAGGCATAGTCTTAGCAGGGATCGGAGGTACCCTGAAGCAAAGTAAGCCTGTCCTGCTGGAGATGAAACAGAGGAGCCAGGAGGAACAGTCACACAGAGACAAGTCTTTGCCTCAACTAAGATTCAAAAATGCCTCGTGAAACATTATGTTGTAGAAATTGGATTAGAGAGTTAAAAAAATAGTGTCAGAAAGAATTAGCTGGTGCACTATAATTACAGTTAGCAGAATGAAGTTTTTATGGCAACATGGTTCAGCTAAATCTAACGCTCAACAACTCTATTTTGAATGACTCCAAAGGCATTAATGCATACTTTAGTCTCTCCTTCTACGCTGATCTTTTAGACCGTGTTAATTAACAGGCCTTAACATTTCTTAATCTTTTTCTTGGGAGACAGTGTGAAGGCAACCTAGGAGCAGCTAATGCATTGATCCAGGGAGTAGCTGCCAGCACAGCTCTGGTGCTGGGAGGTGGGGGTAGGGACAGAAAGAAAACTACTTTAGTTTGGGCACTTAAAATACTAATTTTGTTTCCTTACCCCACAGCCAGGACTGTACACAGACACCTACAGATGCAGCAAAAGTCATATATAGATCAGTCTCTGTTGCCAAGCTATGATTTGTCAGGCTTTCAGGGTAGATGAAAGGAAATACTGAAAATACCTGGCAAAGCCTGTTGCATGCCACGTTGTTCACTGTTATTAGAGTTTTCGCGTTCATTTGCTCTTGCCTGCTGATTTTTCACTTGCTGCAGTCAGTGATCACAGCCACCTGGCAGACATACATGACTGATTGCGAGGACAAGACCTTATCCCATCAATTTCAAATGTGCAGTGAAGACCCAGGACAGCTACCTTGCCTGAGGGTTTCAGCAGATCACACTGGAGGCTCTCTCAAAGCAGGTAGAGATTCCTGAGAAGCCCTGTCTCTAACCAAGCATTTCTACATGCTGGGTTGTAAAGCTAGCTGTGCAACTGCCACATCTGGCTGTTTCAGCACTGATTTTAGAGTCAAGAAACAGCTAAACAATTATGAAACCCTTTTTTTTGGAAATCAAGGGAACTTTTATATATGTTTCTGTACACCATGCATGCTCTCCTATCCCATGGTTAGTTTAACACCTTGAAAGCCTTTTGCACTCTTATCTAACACCAGCATCCAGCGATGCACAGTGGATCCAGCCCTTAACCCCCTAGCAGGGACCTCTGAACTAGCCACAAATCTAGCTCAGATATATCACTTAATGATCAAACAATAGCCCCATTGCTTGCAGAGGAGCTAATTTCATGCTTATGGCTGCCACTGGTCATATGTGTTTGCAGGTTCAAGCCCACTAGACTAACTAGCTGGAAATGGGGAGAAAGGCTTTCCACATGTATCAAGAACTTCCAGAGATGAAGGTAACATTCATGCTCAAGTTTCAGAGTGCACAGGGATGAGAAAGTAAAACAAACAAACAAAAAAGTAAAACTAAAAATAAAAGCTTTTGTCAAAGATCAAGTTTGACATCAAAGCCACAGAACTGAAGCCCTGGAGATTTCAATATATAGATAATATACTCCTACTAGAATTCATGATTTTCAAAAGCTTTTCCAAGGATTTCCAAAAGAAATCACGGATGTGGTAGGCTGTGTAGACCTTCACAGGTAACATGGTACCACACAAAGGGATCAGTAGTTGCAAAAGGTAGTGCAAGGCCCTTATATTATTATATACAGCTTTATTTTGATTTAGTTTAGTCCATGGCCCAAACACGCACGTAGTTCAAACCTGTTCAAATGAGCAGTCAGTGGTTTGATCTGTTTTAGAATCACAGAATCCTTTAAGTTGGAAAAGACCTCTAGGATCATTGAGTCCAATCGTTAACCCAGCAGTGCCAAGTCCACCACTAAACCATGCCCCCAAGTGCCACATCTACACGTCTTTTAAATACCTCTAGGGGTGGTGACTCATGGGGTGTAAGCACAAGGGGTGCAGACCTGGAACAGAGCTTTCAGTTTCACTTCTTCCAAAAATGGTCTAGTTTGTGTGTGAGCAGAAATGACTGAGATACTCACTTCAAAATCACATTACCAACCTGAACTAAAACACAGAATGTGGGCACAGCCACGAACTGCCTTCTTGTGAAACACCTCCATGGGAACCTAATGCCTGGACAAAATTGCAGTGTTAATTTTTCATAACTGTAAAAAATTAGAAGCCAGCCAACCCTGAGGTGTTGAGCATACCTGCCGTGGCTGGTTAACCTTTGCTCCTGAAGAAAGCAACAGTCGGATGACATCCAGATAGCCTCCCTGTGCCGCCAGGAAAATTGCAGAAGCTCCATCCTAAGAACAAACACAGCCACCTTACATCGTGTTGAAATGATGCCATTTTTCTACACAAAACCAAATCAAACTGAATCAAGTTCTCATTCTTGAGTCAGTATGCTGTGTAACAGCAGATAAAAAGCCATGCTTAAGAACTAATTATCAAAATCCAAAGTCTAGTTCATAATAAACTACGGTAACATTTTCATTCAGTATACGCAAGTATATCAAACTGAGCTATAAATCCTGGGTCTGGAATACTAAGAGTGTAGTTCTTTGAAGCACTGATCAACATAACTAGAAATTAATTCCTGTATAGCAATATAGGTTCATTTAACTTTTATATGCTCATGCAAAGTATTCTGCTACATAGACACATGGTGAAAACATGTTCAAGTACTTTGCAAAACTGGAGTTCTCAACACTGAAGTCTGCTCTTGAGGCTGAAGGAGTAAAGACTGTGCCATACTCCTGTCTTTCCCCAGCAACTACCATGCCACTGCTCCGGCACATCGTGTAGAAGAGACTTCACCTGTAATATAGCAATCTAAAAGTATTTCATAGCCCTATTAGAAACCAGAATTTTCCTACAAAAAGCTTGTGAAAGAATAAATTTTGAACAAATACAGGATTTTATTTTTCTTCAATATGTCTTTCATGTGCAGATGTTCTCAGAATTTGACTTCACAGAAACTTCTCCCCTGGGAAGAAAATTTAAAAGTCGTATTTCATTAAGTTTTTTTGATGAAACATATTCAAACAGCATTATAATCCATCCAACCAACTAGAAATAGAAATCTGTATTGAGGGTGGAACAGGTGTTTACCCATCCTATATCCACAGCACTCAGCACAGAACGTGCTCGGGCAAGTTTTTCCAGAAGCTGAGACTCACTTAGTTTAAATAGAAACATGAATGAACCCCCTCACTGCATCTCAGATGTGCAAGTACACATCTCATGCCAACTCAGGCAGATGCTTATCACAAAATATAGGGCATTTTAATGAAAGCCTGTTGTTGACCTCACTGGCATATCACCAAGTTGGGACGGAATGCTGTTGTCTGCAGAAAGAGTGCTTAGCTACTCCTCTTCCTGCAAAACTCAGCACAGACTTGGTGAAGCATGAGCTGAATATAACGCCCCAGGGACTGAATTTAGAGTGTCTGACATTGATTGCAAGACAAATGTCCTGGTAAACAAAAGAGGTGTCTACTGGCACTATAAATGCACACCCCTGCGCTCTGTGAGGGGCTGTTTTCTCTGGTTGCTATGTGAGAAAAAGGGTGATGGTATCAGAGCCTTTGCAGGCTTCCCCCAGAGACAGATATAGTGAGAACATTTCAATTTAAAAAGTAAACAAGGTTGTGTAATATTAAAAAAGGTCTTTATTGTAGCATCAATCAAGATGGAGAATCTTGCATTTCCTGACACCTATTTGGTTTGAATTGATACTGCAATGAGAAAGCTGTCTTGAGGCTATAACATAGTTCTGCAAGAAATACTATTTAATTAAGGTATTCTCTTGTCTTCTGCCCTCTTGAACCCTCACCTGAGTCTATTTAAGACTAAAACATAGATCTCAATGGTTCTGGGAGGAGTATCCAAAGGCATGCTGGAAATCCCTCTCATTTGGTTGCCTGCCAGTGAAACTGCCATCCAGATACCACTTTGCAAATGCAGCTTGGCCATGTCCCACAAAACACTTATTTTCAAGAGATTGTGCTCTTATATTCTTAAGGAGCTGTTTCTGACTGGCTTTGCCCAATATCCATGAGCAATAAAAATATATTTCTAAATCCAATTGCAAATATAGCTCATTTCCAGGAGACTAACAAGGAAGTTATTTTACTGCCTTCACCTCTGGGTAAGTGTCTGCAGGTGTGGCAGCACAGCTATTTTTAAACTGAGTGGCAACCCCTGGGATTACCGTACAGAGGTATGAATCACTGCCCTCAGATTAGAAAGACAATTGCTATTTGCACAGCAGAAAGGGAGGAACAGCCTTCTTTATAAATAAAGGGTGAGGGCAGCACCAAGATGGGGACCCCCCATATGACCGTGCACAGCCCCTAACCCCCAGTGCACAGCCCCCAGTGCACTGGTGACTTCTGCAGTCAGAAGCCCCTAAGATGGGAACTGAGAGTGCAACAGCACCCTGCAGATCCAAAGCCAGTGGAAACAGCTGAAAAAACTCATATATCCCGGAGAAACAACTTCCTCTTTGTCAGTCTTGAGTGCCCTGGGGTAGGAAAGAGTGGTGGGAAGCAGAGGGAAAATCTGCCACTCATTTCTGTTGAATGCTGAAAAGTTCGACTTATCTGTGTCTCTGTTGGAGTAAATTAAATCCAGAGCTTCATTGGTTCAATCCAACCTTCTGAAAAGTCAACTAAATAACATCAGTTCAGCCACTTTAACCATTCTTTGCCCAAAACACTGGCAAACTGGAGATTCACAAATACCAAACAACATAATTCAGACCCAGATTTAGTACATGTCTTTCATACAGATACCAAACCAAAAGGCAGCCAAAGCACCTTTTGTGATTTTGTGCTACTTCTCTCAGCATCATGAAAAGCAGACAGTTAACAAAATTCACATCTTAGAAGGGCAGAGTACTATAAAACCACAACATTTGGCAAATGCCTCTCTGTGCTGGAGCCAGAGTGTCTGCTGTTGTCCAACCAACAGCACATTTGTTCCACCACCATCACTGTCAATATTATGTGTGTCAAATAACTCACGTAGAGCTGATCGTGAATGTTGGCGCCGTGCTTCAACAGAGTTTCCACTACTTTTGCGTGCCCATACTGACAGGCAGCCAGAAGAGCTGTACCTCCATCCTGTGAAAAAGCAAAGAGTGGGTACAGCCAGGTGAGAGGGCGCGTGCCAAAGGCTTTAAGGCTTTTCAGAATTTGGCTCACGGCAGTTTTATAGTGACTAGCTACTGAATCTTTCATAATTTTAATACCAAGTCTTGCCACATAAATCTTTAAACTTGGCTCTGTCATTATTTTTCCCGAGTTTTTTTAGGGAGGGATAGGAACTAAGAAAATTCTGGGTTTTTTCTTCATCTTCTGCTTTGCCACTAGAAGTTTTGTTCCCTTCAAAACTCCAAGCGCCGCCATGTCTCTTGCTTTTACAGCCAAATCCCTCGTGCCTGCCAAGCTCTTCCACTGATGGAAGGACAGCACACCTTTCCCCTGCTCCAAAGCCTATGGATCATCTGCTCTTCTTTGGCCAGAACCTTGTGCCCTGTTGTGTCCTGCCTCTCATCTGTGGATTTTTGGACTGAAGACAAGTAGGGGGGGAGGGGGAAGCATTTTAAAGTATGCTAGCTGATTGTAGAAGTGTGAGTTGGACCAAACCTATGATCCTGTTACCTCTGCTTAAGAAACAATCCCTGCAGGTAGGATCAATCCCAGCCAGCTATAGTTGCTGCATATCACCACTAAAGGGAGACCTAGGCACATGCATTAAATCCTGCTCGTAGAGGCACTCTCTTGGGAGTCATCTGAGAATGGAAGCACCTCAGAGTTGCTGGCAATTGACTCTGAACCAGCTGAAACAAATGAGATAGCAAACATAGGTCTTGCCATCTTAAGTGTGCTGTGACCTATTCAAAAATTACCAGTATTTCTGACACTGATATGGAAGGGAAGTTCTTCTGCCTGGGATGGAACCATGCCATCATGCAAAGATGATGCACAGCCCAAAACATCCACACTACAGGTCTTCTCTCTCCTTCCCTGCATTCTCCCAGTCTCTAGCCTCTCCTCCACAAGATAAGCTATCTAAAGTTCAGATAAATGGTTTCTAGAGCTGTTATTAATGTGGCCACATGACTGTGTTTTGCCTCAAACTTGTTCTCTGAAATAGCTATAAAGTTTTGTCTGAAATTTTCCACGTAGACAGATATCCAGAAAAGCAGTTACAGCTTGAATGGCCTAAATGGATCTTTTATAATGAGAAGTGCCAATCAAATTTATTAATCAGTGGTGCTATTTCACGGCTATATTAGCCTCATGAAAACTCAAGCTCTGACATGACTGAAACAACCCACGGGCACTGTTTATAGCTATTCTCAAAACCTCATATTTACCCTTCCTCCCTACAACATTGAAAAACAAAGAACGCTTGAGTGTCAGAGAAATCACAGATGTAAGGCTGTTGTGTGACAGTCTAAGGATTGCCTACTAATTCTGGATTATTTGAGTAAATACAGTGTGTAATCAGGTCAGTGGAGTTAAGTTTCTCTATAAATACAATGAGACATTAGACATTCCTGCCAAATTAAACTACTGTAATTTAATAGGAGCTGCTGGAACAAAACACAAAAGCAATCACTATTGTTCCTGGATTAAAAAACACCTTATACACACTTAAAAGACAATGGAAAAGCTAATAGCTTTGTGAAACCTGTTTCCCGTCTCCAACCAGCCAAAAGCCTCTTTGCCTGAGTGGTGACTTACCAGATCAAAGGGCTACAAACAAAACCCAGACATTTTTAAAGACTCTTCCTCCCGAAGGAAATTGAGAGAGAAAGGTTAGTGAATTAAGAAGAGAAACTATGATACCCAGATTGGAGGTTCTCTGTGGAGAGGCAGGGAAGGATGAGTTTTATGAACCTTAAAAATGTTGAGGTTTCCTGTATCGAGGGTAAATAGGCATGCTCAGTGAGTTGCATATGGGAAATATTTGTTTATTATTTTATGATCTGGCTTTTGTTTTCTAAAATTTTTGTGTTCTCAATAAACTCTTCTTATTTTTAGAAGATTGACTGGTTATTACCATAATTTCTGTAGGGAACCAAATGACAGGTCCCAAATAAAAGACAAGCCTGCAAAGCAACCACAGTTAGCATGGCAGAGTTAAAGACCAGCTTGGAATCCAAATGTGTGATCCCATCCTGGGAGATGTGATAGCTTGGGGTTTAAGAAAGGCAATACTACCTCCCAAGAGATGCCTAAGTGACTCAAAATGGAGATCCTGGTCAAGTGTTTGGTTCAATCCAGTGAACAGTTTTAGACAGAGACATTTTTTTTCAAATAATAACCTAATTCTAGAATATACCATTTGGATCTTTCAGATTAGAGGGACTAAGTTTTCCTAGATCAGCCTGATCAGAGTCCAGGGGTCAGAAAAAAAGTATTGGGTGGTTCCCAGTTCCATCTGTCCACTCTGAGTCAAATATTTACTGTGTCAGAAAGAACTGGGTAACAACTTCTTGGCTCAAATATTTGGTCCCTGATCAGGAGGACAACTGAGCTCAAAGACCTGCTCTACTGCATGTCTGATGTACGAAGCTGAATACATTCAGCAGAAGGGACTGGGATTCCTCTGCATGCTCTAAGTTGGGGTACCACTGTGAAAAAGCAGATATAGATCTTTCTGTAATAAAGGCAAGTTGGGGGCAGGAATCTTTTCCACTGACCATGTGGTAAGACAACACTTAGTTAAATCAAGGAACTGTCAAACAGTGTAAAGGTCCATTGTTTCTTAGAAGGAGAAAACTCAGTCCCCCTATCACCCTACTGAGCTTCCATTTGGCTTTCTCTTACACTTTACTCCAGAAGGCTGTAGCTGGACACCCCAATGTTTTACAGTACCATGGGAAAGCAGATAAGTTATGGGGGGGAAAAAAACCAGTAAATTACAGAGTTTTAACATCCCTTTCAGCCACGTGATTCCCTTTTTCCTTTTTGGCTTCAGCTGAGACAAGTAAAAAGCTGAAGCAGCATCTTTGGTACTGGCAAGCTTCTTGGAAACTCTGAGCAGAGTAGCAAGTGGGAGCTGGACACGTGAGCAAGTACTGAGGCACTCCCGGGGCACTCGCCCTTGTGCAGTGGGCAGGAGGCTGTTGGTGCAGCCTCTGAGAGAAAGCACGTGGCCTTGGGTTCATGTCATGCTCATATCCTGTGTTCCTGACACAATGAAGCTTCTATTACTCCTGCACGGCAAACCCTCCCAGCTCAGATAGGAGCCAGTTCTCTCAGCTACCTCTGTAATTCTTCCCCAGAAAACAGTTTTCTTACGCCCAGTCTGTCCTCCCCACTGACAGCACATAACAGCAGCCGCCAATCTCCAATGTAAGTAACTGAAACAGCAGCACTCAGTAAGACCACTGTCTATTTGCCTACCCTTCCTTCGCCTGTCATCGTCGCCTGAAAGTAGCTTAGAATTACGTGTTGTTTTACCATCTCTGAAATATGCTACAGGGGAGGGGAACTGATCTTCTGCAATCACTACTTGCTGCAAAATAGCCTCTAACATACCGCTTGACCCGCAGTACTGCTCAGAAAACAAGGGTTTGCCACTATGCAAATCCTTTTAAGAACCCACATGCTTATAACATGTATTGGAATAAAAGAAAAAAAGTTTCAATCTATGTTACATACTTTTATGGATGCCAGACTGGGACAATGCAGAATAATATTATTGATTTATATATATATATATAATAATTAACCTTCAGTAGTACTATCCATTCTCTTTACAACATCAGCTTTTATTGCTAATTATTTTATTACACTGTGTTAGAATGCTTGCTTTGCCTGCCATAGTAAATATCAACTCTAATGACACAAGGGGTAACAAGAATTGCGCACCTGTATTAAGACAGTTCTCCAGCACTCTCATATATGAGTAACAAATATAGTAATTACAATTTACAGGTAAGTGCATGAAAAGGTGTTGGGCTTTGCATTTCTTTGTTTTAAAATCTCTGTTTTCTAAGATACATTCAATTTTTTTCTTATTTTAATTCCACGTCTTCATTTATAATAGACATATATATATTCTTTGCAAATTGATCCGTTTTGCAGTGCCCTTTAAAAACAACCAGGATCAGCCATACCTTTTCCAGTGCTGCTCCCAACTGAATGTCTTAGTCAGAAAATGCCTTATCTCTAACCTGAAAAGGCATATTTTGTCAACTATTTGTTTCTGGGGTTTGAGAGGGATGGAGGAGCCTGTTACCTTGGTCACCTCTTAAGAGAACAATGGAATAATTCCAGGCTATGAAAACCACATTACTGAATCAGAAAATTGGACTGATACAAAACCACACTAGCAGGCCAATGGAAGATGTGCACTGTCAATGCACTACATCTCACTAATGCCTCCTGCTCAAGTGCACACTGCTGCACAAAGTAGTTAGTTTCTCACCCAGTCTCAGTCTAAAAATTCAGTGGGTTACCAAAGTCCAGCCTGGAAGCTGTAAACATTTAGATTCCTGTGTCTAGATCTTCATTTCAAAAGAGCTGCAGTACCCAAGAAAGGAATGAGTGAAAGAATGAACATGAAAATATCCAGGATAGGTCCCAGCATTAATGGTGTATTTAGCAAAGCCCTCATACTAGTGTCCAGAGAGAGCAGATCCTTGCAGCAAAGAGAGCATGGACGTGATAATCTACCTCAACTTTTTAAACAAGTGTCACTTTCATCTGGCACAGGTTCATAGTAACTCAGCAATCCTTTGTTCAGCTTCTGAGAACCTTTTCAGGCACTGTAGCTTGTGTCACACCGTGAGTGCTGAAGTGATCGATACACTTCTTGAAGAAGGATGAGAAGGAGGGAATACTTGGACAGGTATGTCGGGTGATGCTACTGGAAAAGAGCCTCACATGCACATCACACATCAGTTTCTCATGTTATGTCCAGTGGGAGTTGGTGTTGTCTTATGACCAGCTTGTGTGGAAATGGCAAAAAGCTGTGGTCTGGAGAGGAAGAGCATCCTGCAGCTTAAAAGATGCTTAGGACTGGCATATGGGCCAAGTTAGGTCTGGATTCAGAAGAAGAGGTAGGCAGGAAAAGGGGAGCTGGAGGCAAAGTTTCAAGGTGAGCAACAGAAGAGCCCAAATTTGCATTTGTCCAAAGATGGAAGCCATTTGGAGCAGCTGAATGCAGAAATATTTCTTTTTAATTTAGATCTTCGCTCCCTTTTTTCTGCCCTAGTGTCTTACATCGATATATTTTGCATGCTTCATAAAAGATCATATATTGTCATGAAGGATCAGACAATTTCAAGCCTGCTGTTCACCTTCTGGATCAAGTCTTGGCCTCTTCCCAAACTCCTAGTTTACAGGCTGTGGAAAGATTCAGTGAAAATGTAATTGTCCCCCTAGATAGAACAAGGTATGAGCCTCTGACTTCCCAGCTGAATGCAAGGGAAGATTCCCTTTCTGAATCTTGCTTAGCCTCACCTATATCCTGAAATAAAAGTCAGAGAAGCAATGCTTATTTTAATGTGCAGTTTTACCCTATAAATCTGTCCCAGAAGAAATTATTCAGCACTTTAAAATCCAGCTACTGTATTTAACATTGCAACCTCCTGCATTGCCAAGTTTTACAGCTGCACTTGCTGTTGTGTTAAACAGCTACAGTTTCATTCATGTTTTTATTACTGATTGCTGCTGTGGTCAGAGAGCTTTTCACCACAAGTATAGCTCCCTGGGGTACTGGAATACTACTCTAAGGGTATGTGTGGACTCTGTCCACAAAACCTTAGGATTTTTAGCCTCTGGAGCATAAAGAATCGAGTTTCTGGTGTTCCATCAATTTCCTTTGTATTTAGAGCCTATATTTCCAGGGACTGCAGAAAGCAGGTATGGATTGAGGGAATCATTCAAATCACAGCCTAGAGTATCTTGAAAAATTGGGTGCTGTGGGACAAAGAACTATTCCTTCTTCAAACACAATGCTATGGGTCCCAGAGTAAGTGACTGGCAAGTGTCCTCCCCAGATTATGGGAATGCTTCAAGATGTGGCTAGCATGTCAAGGACAAGTATATTTAATGAAAACATGTTGCTTTTGGTTCTGTTTGCTGAAGGCAGAGGTGTTAGTACTACCTTGTACAAAGAAACTTAGTTGATGTACTGCTGTCAGTGATGAACTGCTGTGCTTGTTGCTGTTCACCCCATGAGGGGTGACGAACCCAGGCTCTGCTGCCTGCATTTTTGACTGTTCTAAGATGTTGTAAAAGGACCTGCCTGAACAAAGAAATAAAAGCTCTGAGGTGTATTTCATCTTCTTTTACAGATGGGTAAATGGGAATTTAGGGAGGACTGAAGCCATTATACTCCTATGCATCCTATGGTGGTACGCAGAGATATCCCAATGCAGATGGAATATCTGTCTATGCAAGTGAAGTACATAAACACCTAAACTGAGATCATATCTAACATGTACAAAAAGACCCTTTGATCTTGTATTGGAGGATGGCTTAAGAGGAAAGACTGATATCACTATTAAGGGACAGATCTTTGATCAACTTATGCTATTAAGTCTAGGTAATAAAAACTAGTCACAAGTTAATATTTTTACAATGTATTGCATTATGCATATTACTCAGAAAATGTTCAAGTGAGGAAATCCTTTTATCATCTTAGCACTGTCTTGTCATATTTCATGAGAATATGAAAAAACAGCCTTGATTGTCAGAATGTATCATCATGCAAAAATAGACCCATCATCTTACTTTATTCTTAAATTCAGTGGAGGCTCCAAATGAGAAGAGAAACTTCACTACATCATTGTGGCCTTGTTGTGCAGCAAAGAACAGAGGAGTTGCACCTGACTGTAAGAGAAAAATGTATTAAAAGAACTCCAAACACATAACACACCCGACTGAATATACATGCAAATAAGGACTGAGTATACATTTCCAATGAAAAAGTATTGAGCTCAATCAGTTGAATATCAGCTGAATGATGATTTTGAGGACTGCAGAGGACACTAGGTATCTTAACTCAGTCTTCTTCCCATTGCACTGGGAAATCTGTCCAGCATCATACACTTGAGTGAAATCCAAGAAGAACTGAAACCCCGTATTTTATAGAAGTTGTGTAACATACTGTCATTAACATGTGAGCAAATCAAGACCCCAAAAATCATTATGTAAGCTTTTAATAGCTGGATTGAAGGGAGAAAATAGGGAAGGAAGGAAGAAAGAGAGAAAGAAAAGACACGCAGGTTTTCCTGACTTTGGGCTCTCTCATCCCACACAGAAGTTGCAGGAAAGGGGGAGCTACACATGAAATTCACTCCAGTACCAAAACCCTTTACAATAGCACATGGCCCCTTTAGACCATTTCAGAACCCCTTCTCCTGGAGACACATTTATGGGGCACTCACTTCCCCAAGCTTCACTACAACTTCAGAGCACAAGAGCACTGGTTTGAGTATGTGTATTTAATTGCAGAGCAATGCCATTGGTCTTTAGGGCTTAAACTTCATCTGTTCTGCTCCTTTTCTGCAACAGAGTGATTTTGGAGGCTTTCAATGTTTCTCTTTTTGTTGGCTTGTTGAATCAGTATATCCTGAGTGATACTCATGAGCAGCTCCATAAAACTGTTCTCAACTTTTTCTTTTGTAGCTGCTTTCCAAGCAATATTTACCTGGGGGAAGGCACATGTTTAAATATATGTTTTGTTAGAACAGGACCCCACTGAAAGACACTGACAATCATGATTAGAGCAAGTTTAGGCCAGTAAGTGCAAAGACACTTATATCATCAACCATGGCATTCACTGACTCAGTAACTTACAGATGTCAGCATGAGATTAATGCTCTAGTTCCAGGTAACCAAGGAAAGTAAGAAACATTGGCTTGTATTATTAGAGCAACCAGCATACTGCTGTCCTGCACTACATGCTGCCACCCCATGTAACTGCATGTCCTCCTTAAGCTGCTCTTAGGACCAGTACAACTGTGGTTATCCCAGAGCAATTCTGCTCTGTGTAGCCAACACACAGACCAGAGTAACTGCAAGTACTCCTTACAACCATTTGCATGGAGCATGAGTGAAAGGCCGTTTCCCAAAACGAGTCACTGATGTCTGTTCCACAAGCAAGCATGTCATGGTGCAAGAGATGCCTTGAATGCAAAGCAGAGATGTAGGGAAGAGTATGGGTGATCAAGTTGTGTGATTGTTAGAAATGAGTTGTCTCAGACTAAGAGGCAGAAACTCCAAAGCATACCGAGTCAAAATAACCCCTGTGCTAGCAATGGCACCTATTCAATTTTAACCACCAGGATGCAAATTAAAAGGTAAAAGATTTATCATTTATTCCATCTGGAGAGCTGTAAATTATTGTGCCAATAAGTAAAACTGCAAATACATAAATGGTATAACCTGGGGGGGTTACATCTCAGGTGTAACTGACCCTCCCCAACCATATGTGCTGAAAATGTTTGATAAGTTATTTTTAAATGTACCTCTGGCATCTCATTTTCTGTTATAAACTCCAGATATCTGATTCTCTGATGCTGTCAGGAGAACAGACCCTGTTATACATGCACTGCACAGCAAGTGACAAAGAAGCAACTGGCAAAAAGCCACAGACAACTGTCTATTATTATTTGTAATAAACAAACAACAAACTTAATCAAGCCCTGTTTGAATGCAGAACTTCTCCTACCTCTCTCTGCAGATTGATATCTGCTCCTTGCAACACCAATTCCCGTACACAATCTATGTGGCCATAGTAAGATGCCACCATCAGAGCTGTTGTGCCAAGCTGGGGGTAAGGAAAAATAAGTCAGTACCTTTAACAGACACCTACAGCAATGAATCAGGCTGTCTGAAAGAGACAGCATCTCTTCTGAAAAGCTGAAGGAAGATTATGGTCATCAAATAACTTGCTATCATTTTAAACCTACTATCAAGAATACTTTGAAAATAAGCAATTAGCAGGTGTTTAAGCAAAAACATTACAGACTTGCCTGCAGTGTTAAGGCCTGACTGTTCAACAGATATGTATAAAAATACTTTGCCTTATTGCCCGACAGTAAGTGCCACAAGAATAAAAAGAATGTTTTTTTTTAATACACAGGCTTTTTTAAATCACAGAATCCCAAAGATCTTTGCATCATTTCCAGAAGAATAACCTTAGACACAGGAGCTGAGTGACTCAGCTGAGTCACTTATTCTGAGTCACAGTCAGGAGTAGGGGCTGGGTGATTTGAACACTAATTCCCTATTCAAACAATCAGAGCAAACTCATTCTGTGACTCTTCACATTATAAAAGAGAACTTTCTGTCCAGAAATATGTTCCCTCAGTACACTATAAGGTCACTGTTCCAGTGAACCAAGTAAGATTGAGGTTATATGTGTGTGGTGTATGGATAATATGCGAAAACCATATGCATGTAAGGATGAAACTCATACTTCTAAAACATTCCCCCACACCATTTCAATTTAAAGAAGAAATAGGTGACATTGCAAAAAAGAAGCATGTGGTCTTAATTATACAAAAATAATTTAGTCTAGAAAATGTGTATGTCTGATACAATTAATAATGCAGTGCAGTGTGAAAATTCTTGACCAAAGTTAGTCTTCTTTTGTGAAAAAATGAGCAGTAGTGGACCTTATTTTTTTACATTGATCTCTGTCCTGTTTACTTCAAGCCTCCATCTGAACATCCTTCCCTCCCTGGCAGAAGGACAGTCATAGCACCAGCTCTAGAAGTACTGTAGGACAAATTCTTGCCTACACGGCAAAAATGAAATGAAAATGAAAAGATAGGTTAAAGTCAATGTGCTTAAAAAAATCTCTTGCACTTTGAGGGTATTCAAAGTGAGAGAAGCTGTGGCAGGTTCATGTTTCAGGCTTGAAATGGCACTAATCCTGTACAACACTGGCATGACTCCATGTCAGTCAGTCCCCATGCCAAGGGAAAGAAACCTGGAACTTCCCAACCTCAGTTTTCTCCTGCTCTTTGACACAGCTTAGCACAATCAAGTATCTCACCATATGTTACAGGCAGAATAGAAAGAAATAGTCGTTATCCGTGTTATCAACCCATTTCTAATCTCAAAACTAATTTCAACCCATGTCAATTACAGTGAGAAAATGCCCATGAAATCTCTCTGTCACGTGTCTGGGCTCCTCTTCAACTGGCAATCTTGTGCCTTCATGTTGGTGCCCAGTCCAGAGATACTGGAGGGGAGGAGGAAGAATTTAGCAGACCACCAGTTCTTCTAATTATGAGGAGTTCTGCTAGCTGACAGAATCATTGCTACCTGGGCTTAATTGAGCTAACTCTCTACTGTGATCTATTACTACAATGACATTTCTTTGCAAAGAGAAGCCCGAGGTGCTAGGATCTGTGTTTTAAATGTCAGCCCCACAAATAACTGTGTAAGACACATTTTTGAATGCTGGCAAATTCTTAACCCCTTGCCACTGATGTAAATCATGATCTTAAGTTTCAAACTTGCTTCCTGACAAGAGAAGGTTTTAAATCATCCTTAAGTGCCTTAAGACTCTCAAATGTCTCATGTTAGATTCCTACCACACCCTCTGCACAGTGGACTATGGAAAGTGATGCAAAATCAGTGGTGTGGGTGTAGGTGCATTGTGTGCATACGCTGTCTTTGCAGTCCACATCTACTCGCCCACTGTTCAGCAGCAGCTGGAGGAGAGCCAGGTTTCCTTTTCTTGCAGCCCAAAATGCAGCATTGGCAAGTGGTGTTTCTTTCTGGTGAAAAAAGAGAAAGAAAAAAAAATAAAAAAAGCAGAAATAAACCATTTTGGAAGATACATTGGACAAACATACACATTGCATACATTCTGCATTCAAGCCAGGCAAGTTTCAGCTTAGCATGCTGTTCTTTCAAGCCCAGAGCACAGAAAGGAAGCTAATCTAATTTCTTTGTGCAATTAAAGAGATCAGACTTCCTGTGCTACCTCATGTTGTTTCAAGTCTTCCCTACGTCCATGGCAGCCTATATCTCTTAGATTGCTCTGTAATGAGAGATGATGATGCTAGACCACAGGGAGACATCATAGAAAACAACATATTAATTGGTACCTGTATTGTTTGCTTCTGTGGTGGGGCTGGCCACAGTTAGGTTGAAGCATCCTGCTGACATGTCCTGCTGCAGGACATCCTCTTGGCTTTCAGGTTAGCTTTCTGTCATCTCCTTCTTTTCTGTATATAAACTCCCAATACACAAAAAGTATTGCTCATGTGTTTCCTAGACTGCTTGGTCTGCCTCCTCCCTGGAATTAACACTCTGTAACTGTGGGCATGTGTGATATCTCCTGGGTGATGCTAGAAAAAAGGCTAAAATCTGGCTGTTTATAGACTTTTGGATTCATTTACTAGGTATGCAAGGCAACATGAAAGGCAAAATTAAGAAACTCTGAAAACTAGATAACACAGGCCACTGCTGAACAAAATAATAGTAATATAATACTCTTTTGAGGCCTTCTTACTCTTAGAAACAATGCCACAGTGTGAATTCTCCTGGGTAGGAGCAAAGTATCACTGCCCCAGCACAGGAAGAGGGCAGAAAAAAAAGCCATGGGCTTTGCTCTTAACCTCCTAATCTGATCCATGCAGACAGCTGCCAATATGCTGCCCTGACAGGTAAGCACTGTGACAGGGAGAAACAACACTGTGATGGCAATTATACATATCCTAGAGCAGGCTCATGATGCTGATTTTTTAATAAGGCCCCAAACCACCAACAGTGCAATAAAGTATCACTTCACTGATACTTATACCAAAAACAGAGTCAAAAATATCCAGGGGCCTTGCCTTCCAGTGAATCCTGCCTTCATGATAAGAGAGTTCAGAGTGGATATAAAAGTCAATCATTCAGCTTCAGAAATGTAATAGACACTTTTCCTTGTCTAAATGTCAGTGCGCACATGTAATGTGGTAGAGAATCGGGATTTAATGATTTTACAGTTGATACTTAAAATGCACACGTACGGCAGAGCTTAAATTGCTCCCTTCACTGACATACAGATAATAAACTTTGCAGAAACCAGCAGACACAAGACGAATCATGAATCTCAATCTATCTCAGGTCCACTGCACTGAGCACTTTCCTTGGGATGCATTTTTAATATTCATAGGTTTGAAAATTGGCAGCTGTTTGAGACGAGAGAAGTTCCAACAATTCAATAAATTATAAGCCACTTCCTATGAATTGATAACAATATTTCTTGTACCAGCACATATAGCTGCAGAAGTCTGAATATTTTGGCAAGCCCAATAAGCTAAATTCTGATCTTCCCTTCATAGCTCATGGATTTCCCTGGAGAATCTGTAGATAATGTTGATCAAAGAAGAGCTTGCAGTTTATATCCTCCTTGCAGGCAATGCTGTAGTGTATTCCTATCTTTAGCCTTACAACCACTAAAATTTTATGTAAATGCAAACAACTGACCCAAACACACAGTGGCCCATGTTGCCCTTTTTCCTCTGATTTATTAGACAGATATTTATAACTTATTTATAGAGCTGGCAGTTAGGAATATTGTCTTATTGGCTGTATCACTATGATATTCAGTGGAAAGCTATTGCAAAAGAATTATATTTAGACCTTACAGAATGGAAAATCAAATTCTTTACCTGTTATTGTCTCACTCTATCCCTTAAAGTTTAGAAAGCTTTGGGGTATGGCAATATATCCATAAAGGGAAAGATTTATTTAATCCAGCCCAGTTTACACTACAAGGGCAACTGCATTTTATTATTCATACCATACACCACCACCACCTCCATTGGTCAGGTAGGTAGGAACTGGAATGAATATTTAGGAACTCCTTACCTGCTTTCACCAGTTCACATGAGGAGAGAAAAGAACTAAGTGTCCAGTGTTACCTTGGGCTGGAAATAGAAGCCCAAAGTCTTTAGCCTTATGAGTCATAAATTCCTACCTCTTCCCCCCCCCCACCCCCTGCTGCCTCCCCCCACCCCTTGTAGCTCCTACAGTAGCTCTTCAGCAAACTTGTCCTTGTGCTTTGGATCAGACCCAAGGAATGGAAGAATTCTCCAGTGTGTCAAGGACACAAAAACAGATTTTTCCCTGTGGTGCTTTCAACCCAATTGGCAATGACTGCTACTAGTACTTCTCTACCCCTCATGCTCCCTCATTGCTGGGGATTCCTTGTACAAAAGTAGAGTACACAGCACACTCACACCATCAACCATCCAGTGGTTAGACTAAAATAAGCAAATACAAATCTGAGCTATTTTACCTCCTAAAGTGAATGGTAAGTGCAAAGTCATTCAGATGATAAAGAACAGCCCCATTGAGTACCATGCGGCAATTTCTCTTCTGCTTTCAAACAAGGATTTACACCTCTGTGCTCTTCACTTTCAGGTGATATCAGCACTACTGACATCACTGATAGGCAAAATGTAAGACACTACTTTGGGATTAATAATTCAAATAATTGAATAATTTTTTAGCAATAAATGGGTTTTAAGCTGCAGGATGTGACTGCTGTTGTTCAGTTATGAACTCAATCTTGTTCTCATCAGATACGTCTTAGGGAGAGGTAATGTTGAATTTCAAAAGATTAACCGGATAAAATTTTCACGTAATTCTTATTATAAAGCTAGTCTGGTCCCAAAGCATCCTTAAACTAAACAACCGATCCTCAGCACTGACAGTCTGGAACAGAATGTGATAAACCTTTGAAAAAGTGATTAGTTAATAGCTTTGGTGAAAATAGCTTGTTTCATTATGTCATTTACTCCAGCATCAGCAACTTTCAGGATAAAATTTCCTTCGCTTCATCAAGTTCTCTAAAGCTTCATTTCAAACTCTGGCTGTTCTATTAATTTTGATTGTTTGTGTGCTTTTACAAGAGCCCATAGATGAAAAGCTGGCATTATATTCATGCTGTATTGCCATTAGAAAAAATACTTATTCAAAAATGGCCTAGAGGAAAATATATATTATAAATCTGACAAGACCATTTCTGTGCAGGGATACAGGAAAAAATAAATTGTGCTAATATATCTGTGTTATCTCAGGAATATTGAGGGGAAAAATATAATTTAAATGCTGTTACCACCAGCACCCTGGGCTACCTTTGACTTGCTGTTTGCAGAGAAAAGGTAGGTGACAGTGGGGTAACAGCTAAGGAGGAAGAGTGCAGTTCTTAAACAGGGGTCTTGCAGATGAAAGAAAAGAGGCAGTAGGAAAAGAGAAAGAAAAGAGAGGAGAAAGAGAACACTAGCCCTGGTAGTGATGTGTTCCTTTTACTGTCAAAATACAAGAAAATTCTGTTTTCTTTCTTAGTTTCCAATCCAGTCCTAATGGAAAGGAGGAATTGAGTGAAAAATTTTAAGAAGAAGAATTGGAAATCAGGATCAAGCATGATATGATGGAAAAGGTTAGTGATACTTAGGAGCAAAGAGTACTTTATTAGATAGCAATATATCTTACATGAAGGATCCTGATAAAAAAGAAAGGTCACTCAAGATATAAATGTTGGTTAGACAGGCAAAAGCTGGTAGAAGAGAGAATAGTCGTGTATATACACAGTGAGAAAGAAAGACAAATGGTACATCATGGGTAAGTAGAATATTAAGATGGAAAACATGAATAGACAGTAGCAAACTGGGACAGTAGGGATCGAAGCAAAATACAGTTTTCTGAGAAAAAGAGAAAATGCAAAGCAAAAAGAGAAATAAAGCAGAGGGAGGTGTGGGCTGCAACTCTCCAGAGGGGCAGGAAAGCAGTGAGCCACCTTGAACAGGAGTACTTTCTCACAAAGTGAGAAACAGGGCACAGAATAAGAGCTCACAGAGACATAACAGAAAATAAGACCTGAAGGATGGAAGAAAAAACCAAGGAAGCCAAAAAAGGAGAATACAAGAAGACAGGGCTGGTACCACCAGGAACATGAAGCTAGGGTGGATGCTTGTGAGAAATGAAGGTGGAAAAAAACTCATAGAGACAGAATGAAAGGACAGAAAAGACTAAGACTAAGAAAAAAAAAGGAGGTATGAGACCACTGCAGGACCAAAATGGGAATAAACCACAGAGACTGCACTGTAGCCAAGTGTATCCTGGGCTACACCAAAAGAAGTTTGACCAGCAGGTTGAGGAATGTGCTGCTCTATTCTGCTCTGTTGAGACCACACTTGGAGTACTATGTTCATCTCCAGGGCCCCCACATTTTCACAAGGGCATGTAGTGACAGTACAAGGGGAAATGGCTTTAAACTGGAAGAGGGCAGGTTTAGATCAAAATAAATTCTTTATTGTGAGGGTGGTGAGGCACTGGAACAGGTTGCCTAGAGAAGTTGTGGATGCTCCATCCCTAGAAGTGTCCAAAGCCAGCTTGGATGGCATTTTGAGCAACCTGGTCTAGTAGGAGGTGTCCCTGCTTATGACAGAGGGGTTGGAATGAGATGATCTTTAAGGTCCCTTCCAACACAAACCGTTGCATGACCCTGTGATTTCACCACCAAGTATAAGGCTGAGCTGCACTGTGAACAAAGGTATTCTCCTGCTTGCCAGGGCTATAACTGCAGGTGGAAACCACCCGCTACACCACCACTGAGCTGACATGGTGCCTCTGAAGCACTGACACTTCATGGGGGAGATAACTTGACAGGAGTGAGAGGCAGGTACAGGGAATAATCCATCAAATAAAGTAATGCAACACAAGCAATATGGCAAAGGACTGGCACCGAGCTGCTGATCAATAAGAGAAGGGCAAGCACAGCATCCAGAAAGTGCATAACTAAGGAGAAGACGTACATCCATCATAAATATTATCTGTTAACATAATTAGTAAATTGCTGCTTGCTTCCCTCTTTGCCAAATAACCTTTTTAATCCTGTCCTCAGATTAAAAAACTTATTTCAGTTTTTGAATTTGAAATGAGAGCTCTTGCATGGGTTTGGTTGGAAGAAGTACAGAAAGTGACAGGAATTGGAGGCAGCAAAGGGAATGAACCAGCCTGGCTTCAGTGGACACCACAGCCTGAAAGGAAGAGCACGGATAAAGGCTGCCTCCTAACTATTACACAACCAGCACCAGCAGAGACGGTTGGAAAAGTGAAGAGGAGGCTCCTGACTGCACCAAAACCCACAGCACAGGAGCCCGGCCACCCTAAAGCCAGCTTTACGCTCCACGGAGTCTCGCAGTTTATGTAACACAAGCCCCGCACCCTTTTGAGGCTGTCAGCTGTGGAAAGCGTCCGCTCTATCAGCTGCCAGTGCACTCCCAGTGCACCCCATAGCCCGGGAAGGACGCTGCTGTTTTCTTTCCCTCCGCCCTAAACCACCCTCGTTTTTCCTAAAAAAAAAAAAGAAATAAAATCAATCCCCGAACCCATGAATATGACGGAGCACTTCACGGACTGCCGGCACGGCAAGCGCAAAGCGGGAACCCAAAGGCGCATCCCCCCGCCCCTCTCCCCGGCGCCCGGCTCACCTTGAACGACATCCTGCACATCGCCGCGCTCCGCCTCCGCCTCCGCTCCGAGCCCCGCGCAGCTTCGGTCGGCACCGTCGCGCGCCCGGGCATGCGCCGGGGCCGGGGCGGGGCGCGCTCCCTCCGGCATCAACTTTTTGTGCTCAGGGTTTCTGCTTATTTATTATTCCCCTTTGAAGGTTTTGGTTTTTGGTGTTTTGTTTTGTTGGTGTTTTTTTGGGTTTTTTTTTATGCAGGAGGAGAATATTTGGGATTAATATTATTATTATCCTTAAGAATATAAAATTAGAAAATAGTAGAATATAATTAATTATTTTTAAGCATATAATTTCATGTAGTTACATAGAATTTTAGTCTATTGTTATTGGTGGTATTATTATTATTGTTATTGTTGCTGTTATTATTATTATTAGTAGTAGTAGTAGTAGTATCCCCCGGCTTCAGCAGCAGCATCCTGAGAAGCCAGCCCCCGCAGTGGGGGACCCATTGCTCTCAGCCTCTCGTTCAGACCTATAGATCAGGCCTCTGTGGCTCAGAAACAGAACAGAAATGGTCCAAAACTCGGGTACCCTTACCCCAGCCCCAGCCCCATCACAGAGCTAATGCCACCTCCACAGCACCTCCTTTGTACTTCGCAGCCTTTTCCCTTCATATCCAGGAAAACCTTGTTAAGAGTAATGGTTGTGAGTACACCCACGCTGCTGCCACACAAGCATGTGGGGGTGAGCACCCCTTCACCTTGCTTGCATCCAGCTATCACCAACACTATCTCTCATGGGTGATGTGCTCTCATTAGGAAGCCAGTGAGTTCTTAAGAGCTTAATTTTAAGCCTTTAAAAATGAACAACCATAAAGCCAATGCATGTCCTGTTTTGCCTGGCTGCCACAGATTTCATTCAAAGTCTGCGTGATATAAAATAGGCAAAGCAGGGCATGCTCTGGTGGGAGATTCCTGAATTTCTTTGCTATTGTTGGTTTAAACTGAGCCCTTAGGGATTTTACTCTTTTGATGTGCACACATAAATCCCATTCATGGGAAAATTATGCGCGTGCACTGAGAGCAAATACTTGCGCTGAGATCCAAATAGTTTATTCTACAAATCTGCAAGTGAAGGATTTTCTACAGATCTTTTTCCTGAGGCAATATTCATCTGTGCATACAGTAAAACAAACGGTAGGGAAGCAGATGAAAGCCACTAATAGCACAAGCTCATCTCAGAATGCATGGCCTGGTGTGAACCTCACTTTAATTACTGAGAAGATCATACAAACATGGATGATCATTCTGATTTCTTCTTAAGCTTAAAAATACGGAATAAACTGAGTAGATTACATAGTTAAGAGTCATCCTTGCTCTGACCCAATTGCACAGAGTTGCTTGCCCACTGACAGAGGAAAATATTACTGATCTGTACACACTCCCTACCTCACCCTTGGAAAATCCCTGTATTTATTCAATCTATTGTGAATAACATGCTAAATTTTTCACATTCATGAGCCAAAATATTTGACAAAGGAAAAACAAAAAATTCTTTGGATAAACAACAAAAATGGAGACTAAAGAAGTACAGGTTTTTTGTGTCTGTATTTTGGATGTCAAGGGAAAAATTTTGAAGTGCCTTTCTAAATTTCCCCACAGAATCTGAAACTGCACCTATTTTCTGTTGCACACGGTCTCCTGTGATTTTTCTGTTCTTTTATTCAGGTTCAATAATTTGTCAGAACTGTTGAATACAGAAATGTATATATAAGGTATGTTCTTTTTTGGTGATCCTTTGAAAGTTTATCCCAGAATGCATTTAGAAACTCTGTTTTTTGATCTCTATCTATTGTTACACTCAAAATCATGTTTATGGGCAAAGAGGAAACACGTCTCATATATATAAAACCAAGAATTTATAATTAGTATAACTGAATCTTAACAGTCTAACACAAGAACCATTACTAGAGCAGATACAATTATTGCAGAAAAAGAAGTCCATACAGGAAGAAAAAGGTAATATTAATAATACTACAGTTAAAACCTATACACACTTTCTAGTTTTTACTCCTTTTCCTGATATTATCCTCACCTTTCCCCTCCTCTGCTAAGTCCCAAGGTTGGTGGTTTCATTCTGATGGCAGTGCTTTGGGAGGTTATGGTGAGCTGTCAGCATCGGGAATTGGTCGCTGCAGGGAATATGATGTTCATGGTAATGGCTTCTTCCCTCTAGGGTCTGCATAACATCAGTTTATATGTTTGCTAACATGCTTTTACATCTGACTCTTTCTTCACCAGTCTACAGCTCCACATTACAACCAAACTCTAATTTCAATTAGAAGAACCGCTGTTAGAGCCAAGCCATGTAAAACAAAGTTGAGGGAGGTCAAGAAAAGTTAAAGACAGTAAACCTGAAAAGGCTCAGCCCTGCTGCCTTGCAAACCCAATGTCTGCTACTAGCTGTGGGAATACTGCATTTTAGGGCTATGTGGTGATGCTACCCACATCTCCCTTATTTTTGATTCTTGGCAGAATACTTAAGATTGCAAGATACTTGAATGGATTGGGAATTGTTACCTGTTAGGCAGAATTCATCTGCAGGGCAGTAGGCTGCATTCCTATCACCCAGTATTTCATCACAGTGATTATTTCAAATATCCTGAATCACGTTGTCTTGTACAAATCTGAAGGCGATCTAAGATGAATTGCAGGAACAAATCAAATTATTGCCTTTAAGCTGAATCAACCATTCTGTGTAAGTCACAGACAAACTTCACATAAGCCAGAACAGTTCAGACACATCTATATATGAAGGATTAAAAGAAGTAGCACAAATTTTGGATTAGCCAAAACATTCATTTGGAGCTCTTGATCCAAACATCTACAAGTTTTTATGCAAAGACAACATTAATTTCTATTTGCTTTAAAAATAGCCATCAACAAACAAATACCCATTTAGAAACGTGAGTGAAGAGTAATGTAATTTTGCTTGCTGTGTATGGAAATGGATACATATATTTCAGCAGATAAGATGATCAGTGTATGTTTTGTAACTTCAGCAAACTCTGACATGAGATTCTGCCCCCATTTTGAGAACCTGTTGTTAAATTTGACTGCCACCTTCAAGACTCCAGAGCTCTTTACTGCAGGGTGTGTCACACAATTGCATTTGCGTAACTCAGGAGATATGGCATTGACAAATATGTTTCTGCGTTACCTTTTCTCATTTCCCATATGGCTGTATGTCAATAGTGTCAATGCATTTGCTTTCAATATCACCTGGATAAAGATCACTGATGAGAGCCTGTGAAATTTATCCTCCGTTTGTAACTTATTTTTTTTCTGAAGTTTTGCAAATGGTGGAGATCTTAGTATAATGTTATTGATTTCAGCTGTATCTACATTGTCTTCTTTCCTCAGACATTTGCTTCCATTAGCATTTAGTTATTTAAATATTTTTTTAAATGCGAATAGGTTTATATGTTTTTCCAGAAATAAACTACTTTACCCAAAGATTAAAAACAAAAGGCAATTTAAAATGTAAAATGGAGCAATCTTCAGCAGTTTCAGCTACAAATTCTGAAGCCTGGTTTTACCCAGACAACAGTAATATGCCTTGCTACTGTGAACAGCAAACTCTATTTCTATTTTACTAAAGGTATAAATCCTCCATACTACTCTAGTTCTCTTTGCATGATTTCAAAATCTTGGATCATTGCCTCTTAGACGACTGTTGTATGTTTCTGCCTATGACCTCCTGTGTGGGCTTAGGCAAGTCTTTTGTGCTGAAATCTTCAAAAATGGCTTCTCAGTTTGGCTTCCTTACATTCTCTTGCCTTATAACTCAAAATGCTGACACCAGGACAAAGATTACTTTTGAAACCATCAGCCTAAGGTTTTCACACATCAGTTTTTGTCAGCAAGATTCAATACCAGCACACAGTAAGAGAGCAGCTCTAAAATATTTTCTCTCTCCCGACCTTTGGACTCTTTATGTTGCTAAAATCACTCTTGATCTTGGCTAAAGCCTGCAATGCACTGTGGAGTGAATTGAGCTGGCAAGCTCAGACACCACCAACAGTTCTGCTGTGCAAGCATGGACATCTGCATAGACCAACAAATCCAACTGCTTGGATTGGTAAATCAGTTCATGCTGACTTCTCTGGGGACATTCACATTAGAGTTCTAGTCTAGATGAGGAGTACACAGCTGAAGTGACTCTCCCGATTGTCTCTCTTTACTGTGCTCTTTTCTTACTGTGGAGGAATCTTGCACTATATAAACTGGATCCATTTTGAACTAATCTCAAAGAATTTCTCCAGGAGCAGACTCAGTGGACTGCAGCTGCAAACTGCATTCATGTCCTGGGATTGAAAGAGAGCTAATCTGAATTAAAACAAACACACAAACACAACATTAAATGGTACAATGTAGAATTCAGGTCTTCAGCACCATCTATTTGCTCTACAGATTCACTCCTGTTAGGCTGCACTACTTGCAAACACAGACAGCCTGTATTGTGCTACTACTACCACAGCTAGCTTAGGTATCTCTACACTGCAATGTAGTCATTGATGTAGAAAAAACACCTTATGATAAGATGTCTGGTACAGCCATGTTGCCCCCCCCTCCTGACTGAAAATTATCCAAAGCCTTGTGCCACCAGCTCTTCTCCTTGCCCTGTGTGTGTTCTCTCATTCAGTGAGAATCTGGATAGTCTCAGTATTTGCCAGACATCCTGCAGCCCCTACAAATGGGCTGCAAACTCTCTGGAGATCCTAAGCCTGTGAACTGCAGTTTACTATAGGTTTCATGTATGTGTGCTCCATCAACCCTCTAGAGGGACATGGTGAACCTGACTTTTTCAGGATGCACTATGCACAAGCAAATTCATGGTACATAGGATACACAATAAATGTGATACTTTCCAAGCTTGTTGTATCTACTGAAAACAGCTTGTGTCATCAGCTTGTACGTGTCCAACAAGAGTGATACATTCTGGAGTGCCTGGGCATGCCCATCCCCTGTCTGGGAGTGTTAATCATTT